TGATCCTCTAATAAATTGTTTATAAATAAATAAATAAATTTGAGATTTTATAACCGCACAATTCTGACTTCATAACTTGTAATTGCGAGTTTATATTATGCAATTCTGAATTGCGAGATAGTCAAAATGATCATTTTTATTTTTTATTCTGTGGCGGAAACAAGCTTCCATAGATAAGTATCTGACAGTGGAGTTGTTCTATATTGTTTGTAGCATGACTCAGTGAATAATTCTGCATACATTTGGTTTCAGTTTCTAAGTGAGTAAAGAGTCAGATGTAAAGAAACTAATATGCATGAGCATGACTCGCTTAACCTAAATTTCATAAATAACTAATTTTATAATTACATTTCATAAATAACTAATTTTGACCATTAATTCACATATTTGAATATTCCGTCAAAATCACAAGTCTATTGCTGACCTAAAAGAGGGTCACCAAAAATGAAAAATCCCTTAAATCAGTTAAGTTTTAACGTAACATTAAATATATATATATATATATATCATGATGGAAATCTGTTTTATTAAGACAGCAGGAGCGTTTTTAAAGGGATAGTCCCCCCCAAAATGACAATTCTGTCATTATGTCCAAACGTTAGGCAGAATGACAGCCTCGGGGACCATTCACGTTCATTATACGGAACAAGATGCAATGAAAGTGAACAGTGACTGAGGCTGTTACACTGCCTAGCATCTCTTTATGTGTTGTTCAGAAGAAAGACAGTGATACAGGATTAATTTGGAACAACATACAATTAAGAGTTAACGATTACGTAATTTTAATCTTTAGGTGAACTATTACCTCTAAGACAGCAACCCAACTCGAAACCTGCATAATAAGGCCAGCTATCGCTGAGGTGAGTGTTTACTAACGTTACCCCAAGAGATCATCACTGAAACGATGATGTCACCTCTTCTGGAAATCAACAACATCGCGGTATCGGGCATGTGAGCACGGTCAACACACGAGCACAGAGGCTGTTTCTAAAAACACAGTGTGCTGCCTGTCTAGACAGTATTTCTAGGCATCGTATCGAAAGTTCGGAACGCTCCAGTAACGTTATATGATGCTCGTACATTCGTTCGGTAACGTTACGCGGATGATGCACAAACTGTCTGAACAGGCGGCTCACTTTAAAACAGCCAAATAAGACTGCGGTTTCCTTATTCAGTCCAAGTCATTGTTGTCAATCAGCAACGTTACCTTTGTGCGGCGGATCGTCCGCTGGTCGGTATGTGTACAGACATGTTTCAAACAAACAGCGGTGTTGTGATATGTGACAGTGAACGGCACTGCGCAAACTCACAGTTCACGTTATAATTAAAGTCTAATCTATATAAAAACGTCAGTCTAAATATGCTGTAGGGTATCTGAGTTATGAATCAGAAAAACAGGCGAAAATCATTATTTGGACATAAAAGCGGCACTTACCAGTATCGCCTCCACCCGATGGGGCTGCCATATTATCATGAAAATAAGCGTGAACGCTTCCGCTGCGTGACGTCAATCAGTGATCGACAGGAGGAAGTCAGCGGAGTGGATGCAGCAGCACGCTTCAAATAAAACAATCATTTAGAGGAAACGTTCTTGACCTGTTATAAACATCTCATTGATTTAAATTACAAGCTATATTGTATATAAATTACAACATTTGCACATTTTTGTTAATTTGGGGTGTTTTTCACCCTCGAGTTTAAGCTCGATATTATCACCATTAAAGTCTTAAGTATCAAATACTATACAAATGCATAATTTTTATATAGATTAATGTCATATGTTTGTTTTTCTTTGTTAGATTTCTTTATTGTTTATTGTAATAAGAAAAAGTTCACTGCAGTTTGACTTTGTTTTTCAAAACTCCATCTGTGTAAGTTAAGTTAGATTCACGCAGAAAATTATTCTGTACACATTGTAAGACGTATTTTTTGTACTGTATTTAAATTATGCAAAATTAGACGCAACGACATTTATAATAATTGTGAACCAAATATGTTTTGAAGCACCGCACACAAAACACATGATGGATACAAGTATTCTACCTTTTCAGTGAATTCAGACGTTAGCGCCAATCACTTGAAGCACAAACCACTTGTCGTTAAAACGATTTCAAAAGTTGTTTAAATGTAAATAATGAAATAATATCGGTTAAAATACATTAAATTTGTCAAACACGAAGATCAAACGTTAACTCAGTCACCACGCCTACAATTTGTCGTCATATCCGCGAAAGCCTCTCTTCCGTCCGTCTCGCGCATGTGTAGTCCTCTTTACGACTCGGGTGGCGAAGATGGCGGACGCTCAGGTATGTGAGTTCCTACGGCGTGGTCATGAAAACTCATTTGATTTCATGATAAGCTTCAGTTGAAAGCCACAAATTCTGGTAGATGGACAGTGAAGAAACCCCCATGGAGACAATGGTGTCGAAATCGACCACAAATAAGACTAGAATATGCGTTTTTCAACCCCGGCTAACTGGTGGCAAGCGTTGCTGAACGGAAACGCGGGCGGCCTTTCTTTACTACATCAACACAATGTGACTATTACACATGCAACTCTTTATATGGACTACGGTTGTTGTAATACCCTGAATCAAGTTCGTTGAGTGATTAAAATAACTGAATTTGTCTGGAAAGCAACTCAAGCACATGGAAAGTTTTGCTAGGTTTGTCGCAAATTTACAATGCCACTCCTGTCCAGAATCACTTTTTGTGGATTTGAACACATGCTCTAAATGGACATCAAGCTGCAAATGATGATAAAAAATCACGACGGTCTTCCAAGTCTGTGAGGCTTTGACGACACTGCCTTATGGCATTTTTCTGATGCAGCATAAAATCCCTAAAATGTTTTATGGCCTTTTTGATGCATAGTCCAACACATCCGTCATTCATGATTTTTAGGAATGTTATGTTTCTTTATCCATTGGTTTGTAAGGAACATGGCTGACTCTGTGCTTGTTTTCTGTTTCAGAACGAGAGGTCTTATCAGAAACAGCCCACCATCTTCCAGAACAAGAAGCGAGTTTTGGCTGTTGAAGGGAGTGCGAAAGAAAAGCTCCCACGTTACCACAGAAATGTTGGCTTGGGCTTTAAAACCCCCAGAGAGGTGAGCTTGTTTTTCTTTGTAAACTTAACTTTTCACTGCAAATGATGTTATTTCATGACGGTCTTCCTAGACTCCTGGAGAGCTCTGAGGATACAGCCTTAAGGCAATGCTGATGCAGTTGTATGTGCTTCCATTATGTATCATACATTGATTTCAAATGACTAAACAACTTGTGCTTTACTTCCACAGGCTATTGAAGGCACTTATATCGACAAGAAATGCCCGTTCACTGGAAATGTGTCCATCAGAGGCCGGATTCTGTCTGGTGAGCCTTTGTAGCCCTAAGTGGCGTAATTGTAGTTTTATTGGGGTGCAGATGATGTCTTATCACGATGGTCTTCTGAACCATTTAGGTTTTGAGGATAGTGCCTAATGGCTTTACTGATGCCTCCCTGTATATCTTTGTCATTTTGTAAGTCAAAGATATTCTTAAAAGGGATAATTCACCCCAAAATTTAAATGGTCATTTACTCACCCTCAAGTTATTCCAAACCTGTAGGAAAGTTCTGCTGAACACAAGATATTTTGAAGAATGCACAAATACACCCATGCACGATGGAAGTCAATTGGGCCCATCAAACTGTTTGGTTGGACGTTCTTAAAAATATCACCTTTTGTTCAGAAGAAGTAAATTCTTACAGTTTTGGAGCAATTTGAGGGTGAGTAAATGGTATATTTTTCCCTCTTGGGTGAACTATCCCTTTAAAAGACTGTTTGCTGGCCAATCGATATACTGCATGTGAACTTATCTGCGGTCACCATTTTCCAGGTGTGGTGACCAAGATGAAGATGCAGAGGACCATTGTCATCAGGCGGGACTACTTGCATTACATCCGCAAGTACAACCGTTTTGAGAAGAGGCATAAGAACATGTCTGTCCACCTCTCTCCATGCTTCAGGTAAAATTCCTACTGTTAGGGAGGAATCCTTTTCATCCTTTCCATCCTTTTAGGTGCCCAAAAACCCTTTATGTTAGCTGCGAATGATGATTTATCATGACGGTCTTCCAAGTCTCAGACTTTGACGAAACTGCCTTATGGCATCACTGATGCAGCAAATAATAGTCCCTAAAATGTTTCTTCACACTCAAGGTTTTTGGGTTGAATTACTAGTTAGTTAGAAAAACTACTTTTTCTCTTAGTCTTTCTTGAATGTCACTAATGTTCTCCTTATTTTTAGGGATGTGACTGTTGGTGACATCGTTACAGTTGGAGAATGCCGACCTCTCAGTAAGACGGTGAGGTTCAACGTTCTGAAGGTCACCAAGGCAGCTGGAGCCAAGAAGCAGTTCCAGAAGTTCTAGAACTGTTGGCTTAACAATATGGTTCCTCTGCATCGTTTGTGGAAGTGAATAAAAATCTGTTCTTTAAATTTCTGTATAGTGTATTCTATAATGTCATTTTGGAAAAGCATCCCCCCCCCCACACACAAATCATATTTTGGATATCTCTATGATCAGCACAGATAATGTACTTGCCTGAGAAAGAACTAGGGAGTATGAGGTAACTACATCATGAGGTAAGGTGTAGACTCGGGGTTAGTACATACTATGTTCATGGCATAGGGAATAAAGTGCGACCGAATATTTTGTTTTAGTGTGGTTGATGTTTTGATAGATTATGACTCCCATATCTCATGAATGACACCTGCACACAGTTTGTAGTTTTCTGGGCTGTTGAAGATTTGGTCATTTTAATTTTGTTGGCCAAATATTTTGTAATGTTATTTTTTTATGGCATTTCCATCAGTTTCTGAGTGATTCTAGAAAAAAACCATTCACATTTAGAAATTTTGCTAAGCCTTACTTTTTATGAGTATTCTACATTGGATTGTCTTGTTTAAATCTGTTAGGTCTAGTCAGGGGCAGAATGGGACAAAAAAAAAAAAAATCAGCCCTGGCACTTATAGCCACATCAGCTCACGTAACCACACGCATTCAAATGTAGGGTAGTTTGGGGGTTTCGGGGGCATGATACCCGAGAAAATTTGGATTTCTCTGACCTACAGGTATGGCAATTTAAGACTTTAAAAGGCCAAAAATGCAGCCTAATGTTTCGCAGCAGTTGCTGTTCAAAAAAGGAGGATTCCATTATGTAGCTGCTAGTGATGAATGCTATTCGCATAAAGTGTAAATGAAGGTCTGGGAATAACCTCGACTGAACGGACATCACTTTTCTTTTTTCAAATTACAAGGTTTATTAATTTACACACTGTTGTTATGTATATGTGCATACACGCCTAGGACACATCCAGCAGATGGCGCTACTTCACTGCTGCTGAACGCGCCAGCCCAAACACGTCGATTGCCTACGTCACGCTCGCCATCCGTGTTTGAACGTGGCGGCGCGAGGTTGTGGAAATTAGATATTATATACTATTCGGTGTTTTCCTTGTTTGCACATTTAATGAGAACACATATTTAAACCAATAGTTGCATACAACACTAATTAATGGTTGTCGTGTTGCATAACTCACCCCAATGATTGACGGAACAGACATGACAGCCTCGGTAAGCTAATGTTGTGTACAAACAGCTAACGTTAACGTTTTTGTTGTAAGCTAAAAACGGATTATTGTGTTTTTTTTCTTTTATTATAATATTAACTGTTTGTTTATACAGGCTTCTGTTAAATGGAAGGGGTTGTTCAGTCTTGGAGAGGAGTTTGACGATGAGGTTTGGAATTTACTTTTAGTTTTGATATGCGTTTAGTATAGTTTACAAAACAAAGTTTACATAGAATAAGTTGCAGATATTTAATGTTATATGTGTGTGTGTGTGTGTGTGTGTGTGTGTGTGTGTGTGTATATGTATGTGTATATATATATATACATTTTTTTTTTCTTTCTTTCAGACATTATGTGTGTATTGTGTATGCTCGTGTATGTTGTGTATAATTTGTTTTATATTTTTATGGTTTTTCATCTTTAGGATTTGCTTGAACCTGATTGGACATGTCCATCAGAGCGCACATCTTCTACCGCTCCCTCTGTAACTCCACCATCTGAGTCCTCGCATGTGTTGGCTGAAAAATCCACTCATGTTCAGCAGAGACCTGTTAGCTTGTCATCAGACCCTGGGGAAAATACGTCAGGATCTGGTTGTGTGGCGACTCTTCGAACTCCAACATGTGGCACTATCAATTCCCCACCAGATTTCTCCGTACCTTGCCATCAGACACTTTTATCCCTCAGAGCCCCTGCGTCATCCCTGAAACCCTCCTCTAACCAAGTAAACCATCCACCGCCAGCATCTCTCAGTGTCCCACAGAGAGACCCCACTCCTCAGGATGACTTTGATGACTGGGATGTGGATCTGGAGGAGCTGGATAGCATTCCTCAAGTGGTTTCTGAGCCACAAAATATTTCTTCACCTCTGGATAACATTTCACCCATTAAACGAATGAGACATTCAGCACCAGAAGTGTCTTCCCATGGTAGGTTCAGTGGTACCTGCTCAGTGTCAGTTGCACGGCCCTCAATCAACAGCTCAATCGCTTCCAATGTTGAAGCCCCCAGGTGTCCGTCTACCCCTATGCAGAATCCAAATCACATGCGCATCCCCACTACATTAGTCTCACGACTTCCCAGACCTGTCACTACAAGGCCTCCAGTGGTGTCTCCTCGCTGCCACATGGGTACTTCATCACCGAGGACCCCGCTGCAGCCCAGAGGATCTCTTTTCCACTCTGCATCATCTGCTATTGATTCCTCTTCCACATTAACACCTCGTCCTCTCAACACACCCGTCCTGACCAATCACTTGGTCCAGCTGGTGTCTGCAGCCAATAAGACACCTCAGAGACCACAGAGTTGTATGATGATAACCAAAGCACGTCGTTTTCCTGGCCCAGCAGGAGCATTACCACAGCAGGTCAGCCAAGCCGTAATCTAGCTGATTACTCTTAATGGAACACAATATGAACTGCCCAGATCTGTTATTTAGTGTATTGCAAGACTATTTCTCCTTAAAACCTGTTGTTTATATGAATTATTGTTCTATAGCTTGTAGCTTTGAGATTTCTTTGGTTTCCTTACTATTTGCTTACAATATTCCTATTTATGTTGTTTTGTAGGTCAGTGGGGGGAGTCTTGATGATATTGTTGTGTCAGTTCCTCATACACCTGCACATGGAGCGGTTGCTCGCCTTAGAAATGAGGTATGTGAACACGGGACCTTCCGCATTACACAATTACAGTCGATGGATTTGAGGCTTTGTGAGTTATTTCGTCTCAATTCAACCAGAGGTCCCTGGCTAAAAACTTTAATATTGATAAAAAAATTCAGGTGATAGAAATAGGTAAATGAAGGGGAAAGCTAAAATATCAGCGTAATCCACTATTTTGTGGAGTGTCAATATCAATTTTCACCTGACATTTGGAGTCAGATTACAGGGGGGTAAAATTAATTGAGAAAAATAACAGCATCATTATTATTATTTTTTATTTTTTTTGCATGGAGATTGGTTGGTCTATTAGTAAAAACTGTTGACTTTAGCAATCATTATTGCATATGACAATTCAATTCAAAAATGTTTTTTAAAAAAAGAGCACAACTTGAGTATTTTGCCCCAAGTGTGCATGGATGTAACTCAATAAATATTAAAGATAACTTAATATGCTTTTAAATTGTAGTTCCTAAACTTTTCTGACAAAGTAACTCTCATTTGGTTTTCTCCCATTAAAATGAGTTAAATTGGATTGAACCAAATAGTGCCTTAAAAATCAAGATTTCATAAGAAAGTTGGTAAATAACAAGAATCTAAAATTATATGAAGATATCTTTAATACTTTTTAATGAATTATAAGGAAATCAGCTCTAGGGGAAAAAAAAACTTTTGGCACTCAGACAGTGGTTCTATCTATTCAATTGTTTTGATAAAAAAATAAAATACATTAACATGTAACAATGTACACAGTACATTAACTAGCAGAATAACGATACTCGGTCTCACTTGTAGCTACAGTATGTCTTTTAACTATTATAATATTTTGAAGGGCAAAAACAGAGACATTAACTTTTTACATCATTAACTGTCACTTAAGCGTGATGCCCTGTGCGGTCGCACACTTGAGCTAACTCGAAACAAGCTCCACCCACATACCTAAGCCATTAAATTTCCGAATGATTCCGCGTGCATGTTCACGCCGTTAAATGTCAGAGCGAAACGAAGCAAAATGTAGATCTACATCTGGGGAGTAATATTTTTTTTTCCTAGGATGGTAGGGGAAGACTTAAATGCTATTACCCCCAGTGACGGGTAGGTTTAGGGACGGGGTTGGGGTAGGCCATATATTTATATATATATATATATATATATATATATATATACAATAATGTAACGTTAAGTCAACGGCATTCATAAACGCGCTGAAAAGCGATTATGCTTGTTGATAGCACACCAAAAATGGAAATACGAATTGGTGTGTCATACATACGGCATTTCATGAGATCAGTCTGTACACTCATCATCAGACAGGGTGTCCATTTTTCTCAGCAGGTCTCCAGCTCTCAAGTGAGCGAGGAAGAGGAGTTCAGCAGGGGTCCGTGGGCAGTGATGAAGTCTGAGATGGGATTGGACGAGAAGAACCCTTCTTGCTTTCTGCATTTGTACAGTGTTGTCATGGTTCTCCGTAAGGTGAGCTACTTGTATCTCACAGCAAACTGTGTATTTAAATTAGATTTTGAGTGTTTGTGCTTAGGATAGAACTTTGTTGGTTTGCAGATTTGTTCATTTTATCCAGATTTGTACGATACATATTTGTATTGCTTTGCAATGCCTGAAGTGGAAGTCCATGACTATAATCAGGAAAAATGAGACGTTTCGGCTCCCTAAATGATTAACACAAACATAATCACTGTTGTCATCAGTCACCTTAAAGTGATTATTAATGTAATTTTAATGTGTTTTGCCCAGTGTGTCATAACGATCCTCTGCTAATGGTACACGTGTGTTAAATATTCATTAGGCTGACAAATGCTGATTAGCTTTTCACTTGATTCATTACCAATGGCCTTGAGGCTGTGCTCCAACTTATGTTTTTTTTTTTTTCTTTCTGTTATTCTCTTGTTTTCTTTGGTGCTTATTTGTGACTTAAATCTCTCTCACTCCTCCAGGCTGCTCTCAGGCAGCTAACTAAGAATAAGGTTCCCAACATGGCTGTTGTCTTGAAGAGTATCACACACACGCATGTAGACGCGAAGGCCATCTTCAGAGATCCAACGGGTACGACAAATAATTAGTGGTTAATGGTACATTACATATTCATCATACATCCATCCATACATACATGCATACCAGGGGGTTCCTGACTGAGCTGGTTTTCCTGGTCTGATTGACTCATCTCACCTGTTTCTTTTTCTCTCTGAAGGTGAGATGCAGGGCACAGTTCATCGTCGCCTGGTGGAAGACAGACTGGGAGAGCTCAAGACAGGAGCTGTGTTATTACTGAAACAAGTAACTATCTTTTTGACCCCATTATAAACTATACCATGAACTAATATGCACTTAAAGGACAACTCCAGCGCAAAATGACCTTTGGTCTAATTACACATTGGTACCTATTCAACCGTTCTCTGACATTTGTTTAGTTTATAACGCTAGTATATAGGGCTAGACGTAATGAAAAATAAAAATCTTTATTTAATACCACTAACAAGGCTCAATATAGCCCCACACTGACACAGTAACAATGAGGGTCCCTACATGCAAACCGAAGCATTGAAAACTTTGTACAGAGAGTTATTTTTTAAAGACGGTCCACTTTGCGTATACAGGCAGGAGCCATCTTTGAAAAACATTTCGACCAGGCGAACCACGAACGCTGTGCCTTAAAAAAAGAGACTTAGTGCTTCCACAAGATACACACTAAAGAGATTATTCAACGGATGAACCGTTTATGTTTGATGGATGGTCTTATATTTTCGAGCCAGAAAATATACTAGAGAGAGAGAGAGAGAGAGAATAAAAGAGAGAGAGAGAGAATAAAATGTTCGCTCATCACATAAAATGTTGCCGTGATGAGCATTGAGCAAGCAGATGATAGTCCGTTGATGGCGATTTTGAGAGAAAGATTACCTGTTTGAGCTTGAACAATTAGGCTGCACATCAGAAATTGTTGCTTGGCCGCTCGATCAATTTATTTTCAGACGTTCATCGAGGCCAGTTCTGTATTGGCCCAAGTTGAGGAAACTTGGGAAGTTGTGTTGGCGTATTTCCAGAGAACATAAAATTAACTAATTTTTTCTTCAGAGGCTCTGATGAAGGAACTAAAAAATACTGTTGTGTTCATTTGTACATCCGAACACTGATCAACTGCCATGCTTCACTCGTTTGCAAGCCATGATATCTCTCGAGGCATTATAAGCTAAAGAGGTTTTTGAGATAAAACTCTTTACATTCGATTATCATGAAAACAAATCTCAGAGAACGGTTGATTAGGTACCAATGTGTTATTAGACAAAGGTTCATTTTGCGCCGGAGCACTTTGCACCAGATATTGTTTTACTTTACTCATTACTATTGAAATATATTACTAATATATAGCACATGTTGAGCCATAGTGCTTATGTGGGCATTACAAGATCAGGCTTGCAATATTTGCAGATCCCATTGCGCACTATTCTCTATCATTTCCAGTCCTCTACTGTGTGTCTAATAAAGAGGCAATGAGTCCATAGATTTCCAATTATTTTTAAAGGTGGGTGTGTTTTCACCATCACACCGAAATCACTACCTGAATGTCACACCCAATAACCTTCTCAGGATATACCCACCTGATGGGGTCTTCCATGACTCCCAGCCATCCCACCCTCCACTGGTGAGTTGCCTTGTTCTGTTCCCCTTTGTATGCATGTAATTTTTTATACCGTAAAACTTTTACACGCCTGGTGTGGCTGCAGGTTTGGGTAAATAAAGGCCGGTCTTCAAACAACACAAGCGCTGTTTTACTCTCTCCATCACGCATATTAATCAAAATCAATTGACACGATAGTAAAAGGTTGGAAGAACGCATATGGAAGTTTAATATGGAAGATTTGGAGATTTCTAGAGATTAGAGATTCTGGGCACTAACAACACTAAATTATAAAGGCCTGTCTCGTATAGGCGCCCGTCTCAAATGCAAACCTGTGCAGTTTGACGATTTGGGGAAAATAAAAGCCTGGGCTATTATTTGAAGTTTTACGGTAATTCCGTTTTAAATCTTTCTCCAAATTGACTCCAATTTGGTGGTGTCCAGCATTTTGCTCGTCTATTGTGGAAGTACCTTTACCGAGGAGATGCTTCCTTTTCCAAAATGTGTCTTTATGAAAGTATTTGTGTGTTGTCTCTATCATTTGTTTTGTTTTCATTTCGCCCCTGTTGTGCCGTGTACAAGCAGGAGTTGCGTAGTGAACCCAGCAAGCCTACGGGGGGCCCGGTTTCTCAGATGGTGCTCCACTTTGATGACGAAGATGAAAATACAGTTGAGGAAAATCGGGCGGCTGATGCTTTAGACACTGCAGCTGGCTCTAATGAGCTCTGTCAAGCATCTACAGTGTTGGGACCAACAGAGGAGACAGCATGGGAAACAGGTGTGTTTGTTGGAGTTTCGTCAATTAAGCAATATCACACAAGCAAGAGTGCTGTTGTAGTCACAAAGCCATGTACTGGCTTGAAAGGTCTTGAACATAGTATGTGAGTAGAGTGGAGCGACATTTCTTTTCCCTGCACTAAGTCTTCTGTAAACGCCAGGTTTTTAATTTCCACTGCTGAGAAAATCTTACTCTGGGGTGTTTCATATACAATGACGTAACTCTGATTAACCACCATAATGCAACCGTAGTTAGGGATGTAACGATTCACTCATCTCACTATGCGATACGATTCACAATACTGATTTTCTCACGATCTTTTAAAAAAAAAAAAAGATTTAAAAGTTTCCCTTTTATTATTTCTCAGACAAAATGCTGTAATATTTAAAATATATATTTATAATTTAAATAATAAATAATAATTTAAAATATATATGTCAAATAATAAAACTACATTTAAAAAAAATTCTCTTCAAGGTTGTTTCAACTCAGTCTTTCTGTCTGTTTGGTCAAGAGGCTGGACACTGGTACCTTCGCATATAAAAGACTTTGTAAAATTAGTACCAGATTGACAGAAGTTTTACATTTGTATTAAAGGCAAGATTCTAATTTTTTGTTATAATTTGTATCATTAAACTAGTAAGAGTAAAAAAAAAAACACATTTAGAGAAAGAGATGGTAAAATGAATACAACACCTGGTTGCCACGGAAACACTGATGCATCTTGTGTTCTCCTTGGCTCTCGCAGTTGTCGTATTAATGACTTTTACATGAAAACGGAGGTGACTGGTGCTTCTCACGGTGGTGGTGATTATTATTAGTCTACGGAAAGTCAAAATGTCCCCACACCTCCAATTTGAATGAGTCAACATCTACGCTTGCCATCGCCATGTCTATCGTTTGACAGCGTGCGCACACCAGTCTATGCCACACACTGGAACGAGCGGAGCACACCGAGCGTTTTCAGTTCATTCATATATGGCAGTTGAGCTTGGCTCAAACAAGCTCAAGTTCCATGAATGAAGTGAAAACACTCACTAGCTTTGCGCCAGTGTGTGCTCGCTGCAATTGTACCTGTAAAGCAAGTTTCACAACTTCACAGTAGGCTATAAAACGTGTATCGCAATTCGTTTAACATTTCAACCGACTTGAACCGTCACACTTTATCGCTTTTCAACCAGTTGCGAGTGAATCGTTACATCCCTAGTGGTTGCTTATTGCGCTCAAGAGCATCATCCACGTTATAACAAAAATCTGTTCTTCTAACAATAGGTCATAAGCTGTAGTTCCAACCACACAAGTTTGTTGAAACTTTGTTTTGGGGAAACACTGAATTGCTGAATGACCTGAAGTGGTATCGGCAGAATTTTTTTATTTTAACCATAGTTGTCTAATCATCCATGGTTTTGGGAAAAAAAACACCCCTGCCCTAAGCTTTTCTGGAGTGCTAAGGAAACACAGGCGTGTTTGGGAATGAAGTTGTTGCTGCAGGAGAAAATTACCAAAACACTCCCACACTCGCATACTCTAGTCTGGCACAGACAAGCAGAGTGATACTAACAGTACTCTTGTGTTAGCACTCTTGAATGGCACTTCACCATTTAAAATACTCTGAACAATCAATTGAATATTTCCATAAATTTACATTTCATTTCATCAGTCGCATGTTAAAAGCATCAGGTATGAAATAACTTTGTCGAAATGGATCTATGCCAGTCTGCGTCTAAATGGAGGCATTTTGCCAGATCCATTTAGATTTTGTACAGTATTTTCTGTTACTGACTCCTTTCTGACCCATGATTGACTCAATACTTAAGCTAATTTCAGTCCTATTCAACCGTCTTGACATTTTAAGCAGCATTGAGGTGGAAAACAAGAGGAGACATCGTGCCGTGCATAGCGGTTCAGAAGTCTGAAAGCTTTTGATTAACAGCCTTAGAAAAATGCACCATGGATTTTTCTTTAGTGTCATTAATGTTATAGGGACTGTGAAGGTCTGTCAGTCCTAGAATGACCTGATGTGATTTATATATTGATCAAAATTGAGCATATCGTGATAAATTCTTGCTTTTCGCACACTCCTAAACTGGATTAATTGTCATTCAGAAATGTGTCGCATTGTTTCCGCTTTATTTGAACATACAATGAGTTGTTCAGATTAGAATAATGCTATTATCTCAGTGGCTTTTAACTCACTAGACTCTTTAAATGTTGCTACAAAAAATGTTTTGTCTTCTAAACAGTGGGTGGTATGCTGTGATGTGTTGGAAATGAGATGGGAAAGATAATTTAACTTCTAATTTTCAGATGCTCTGGTGTCTTAGAACTGTGAAGAGAGTGCATGCATTTGAGTATTGATCTTTGTATGTGCCTGTTTCTTTTCTAAAGATGACCTTGACGAGCTGCTCGGGGAGTTACCTGTGGAGTCGTATGATGGATTACGTTGATCGCACAGTCACTTAAAATATAAAGTATAATTGTAGAACATGTCTTATATTAATACATATTATGACAATTACTACTATTGAACAAACAACACCTACTAACCAAAGAAATCACTACTTTTGTTTAGGTTTTGTCTAATCCTTTGTAAATATGTACATAATTCACTTGTCTCATGCATAAATTGGAAATAAATTCCCGATGAGACCCGTAAATGACGTGTTCACTCCTTGAGTCTTGCTAACAAATGCAACATGTTTTTCTAGCTTGTAATTAGATGTGTGTAAGGATGGTTTTTAATTATCCTGAAAATAGCCAGTAATCTGATTTTTTGGCAAGCTTTTCTTGTGAATTTAAATCTGTCATTAAGGCTACAGTTTGCCAGCTGGATTCCTCCTTGAAGGGCTTGAATGGTGTAATTGGTCATTTTTTTGGTGTGCTAGCAGAGTGGTTGGCATATTGGGGTTGTTCCCGAACTTCCCGCTGTTTAAAAGCTTTTTCAGGTCTTGCTGTAAGACCTCTTGAGTGGTTGACATTATTTGATCATTCCATTGACTGTAATTTTGAGTCCCAGCCTGTTACTGTCTTTTACTACAGTCTTTTAATTTACATTCTTACCTTTGTCTCAATTAGTCTTAGAATCGCTCTGTACTTTCTTGATCGTCTCAACAGCATGTCTCTCTGTGTGTTATTGATTGAACATTTCTTGATTAGGTTGATTCACTGTGAATCATTATAAAGTCATGAAGGTGCAATCATTTATTCAGTCTTCCCTAGAGTACCATGTGTCTAATAATTAATTGGTTAAATATTAAACCCCCTGTCCTCCCTGCATAACTTATCATTTGCAGTGCAGGAGGGTTATATCCATTAGCTGTTTTTATTTATTTATTATTTTTTATTTTTTATGACGGCTGTTTATAGACCTATATGGATGGATGGATGCATGCATACGTGCATAGATTCATATATGAGATGGATGGATGTAACACACTCACACACACATGCATCTATCTTTCCATTCAGCTATTAACAATTATGTGCAAATATAGATGTTATTTTTTTAAAGTTCAAAGTTTTTGGTGTTATTATCTCACCATCTACTGTAATATGATTTAGCACAGGGGTTTTCAACTCCAGTCCTCGCGACCATTTCCGGTGAAGGTGTAAGGATGCTCGATAACTTCCGCCGATCGCAGACTAAGAGTCCAATGCAATTCAGAGAATTTATATTGAATTTTATACTCCATGCCATGGTTATACTAAAGAAACGTTAGTCACAAAAAACAGATAAAACTTACACCCCCTTGTGTTTATGCTTCCTTTTAAAATTATTAAATAAACATACCTATATGTAAAATTACATCTAAACGTATGGACGTTTCGTTTCAAAGACGGGAGGACAGTAAATTTTTAAGAGTCTGCCATAATCCCGTTTTCCTCGGTTTTCCTCTGCTTTAATCTCCACAACCGGAAATGGACGAGCATCCTTGCGTCAAATGCGGTATTTGCGTGCATAGCCCATTGTGTATGTCTCCCTTATTTAACACACCTGATTCAGATCCTCCTCGGCTCGTTAGGAGGAGGATCTGAATCAGGTGTGTAAAGGGAGACATGCACAATATGCAGAGCAGTGGGTCGCGAGGACTGGAGCTGATAACCCTTGATAGCAGGTATAGATTTAATTTATCATTACTTGGCTACTATTTACTAGTGTGAATTTGCTATCAAAAGCTGTGCCCTCTTTAAATGGCTAAATGCAGCCTCAACAGCTTTTGATTTGAACTTTTAAATTCTCATATGCATTTTCGTCCATTAATAGACCTGTTCTTGACTTTGACATTGCTTTAGTATTAATCTCAGAACAAAGACGGGATCTGATCTAATCTGTCAGCATGTCACAGATGTCTCTTGTTACTTGGAGAATGAATGTGTGAGTTTTATCCGGGGCCCAGAGGAGGAGTAATCCATGTTTAAACTTTGTTCATTACTGCAGCTGAAGGGGCACAGAGACCTTGTCTTATTCGCTTCATTAAGTCATTAACAGTCTGGAAGCCTTACAGCTGTCAGCACTATTGGTGCCCTCCACAGAGATATTGGTGTGAGACGAGCTGTGAATGGCATATGTGATGGAGGATGGGGTTTATCAGTAGGCCTAAATGTAACATGGCAGCCATCTTATCTATAATATCCCCTTTCATTTGGACTCTCCCCCATTTGATAGTCACATTCCTTCAAATTATTTTTCTTTTATAAAATGAGAGATTTGTTCCACTTATCTTCAAGACTCTTGGCTCGTCTTGCTCAGGGCTCCAGACTAACTTTTTTTACTAGGAGCGCTGTTGCCCCTGACTGAAAATTTTAGGAGCGCAAGCAAAAAATTTAGGGGCACACCTTAAATAAGCTTGCAATGCAAATATTCAAATTTCCCACACAATAACTGTAATACTGACAAATTCTTTAATAATAAATAGACTTAACATTATGATGTGCTGTTTTATTTTAACTTCACAGGGCTCCAGACCCAAAGTTGAGGGCAGCATCACCTCAAATGAGAACTCACAGTAATATATATAAAAAAAAAAAAAAATCTGGTAGCACTGGGGCTAACAATAAATCACTAAGCTTAATTTAGGGTGTAGATGAAATTAACTTTAGTTTTTATCATTTATAATGTCTTAATAATAATTAATAAAAGTAGTGAAAATATGCATATGGAGTGAAAATAGCCAATAAACATCCTACTGTTTACAATGGTATTAATATTATTATTTTAAGTGTTTAAATAAGAGTTTTCCAACATCTTAAAATTGTTCGTTTAAGGACAATCTTTAAAGGATGAACAAAAAATGTGTTGGTATGGTAATCACATAAAAAATACAAAAAAATAAAACATTTATATATGATAATATTGAAGTGCTGGGAAAGGATGTGTAGTAGGCTACTTACACATTATCATATTTATGGTAAGAGTTAACTTGCCAAAATTCATGGTTCTGTTAGGCTGATTTGTGGACTGAAAGCCTTATAAGTGTTTTTCCTGGTTTCCACGTCAGCGCTGTTTGATCTGATATGGTTTATAACAGAACTCTGCGCCGAATCGGAGTGTTTCTCACTGGATCTCGTGGTGTTAATGTTATTAATTCTGAGGTGAATTCAATGGATTTCTTCACTGTCTCGCCTACTAACAGTGTTGCGTGAGCGAGATCGGCCCGCGACTGGCAAGTTCGGGGCTTTATTTTGTCAATGGTTCGGATCGCTGCTGCAGCTCCACGGTCCTAATCATACATGAGTGGCGTATTTTCGTTCCACTTTCATTTTGTTTGCATTCGTTGCTAGGTAACGACTAAAGAGTCGATAGATCGCTGATTGCTCAGACGCACATCAGTTTGTGATATTTGTTTCCGTCTCTTTCCCACAAACGTTTACGCGCGCTATTCTTGTCACGGATTCATTGACGCGCCTCTTCCACGCTTTACCATGCGTTTAACGTGTGGCAAATTTACTGGTCGCACATGTGCGACTGGATGTAAAATTCAGTCGCACACTCTCAATTTTTGGTCGCAAAATGCGACCATTTGGTCGCAGTCTGGAGCCCTGTTGCTTCTGTCAGATAAATCACCTCAATAGTCTCTTCTAGAGATGGTTCTGAAGGCCTTAATGTTTGTTGAAGGAGGTGTGTCAGTCACTAGGGGGCGACATGCCCACTAATGATCAGCCTCAGATTGAAGCATGTTTTTATTTATTCATTACTGAGCCTAATCTGCTTCCAACGAGGTTTTTTCCTCCACAAAGACGTTAATACTGTTTTGTCCTTTTTATTTACGCCTCAAGTAATTAACTGGCTCTTGAACGGAAGTCAGATTTAATCAGTATTATTGGGTCAGTTTGAAATGCTCTTCACTGTTAGGCCGATTGAGACACTTGAAGGATCAATTTGAAGACCTTCACCATCCAAGTCTCTGTCTTGCCTCTTTGAATGTGCCAAGTATACAAATTTCTCAATTATTTTCCTGTAGATAGAAGTGCTTGTGGTTAATCTGCTGGTCTAAATAAGTATTCTAACTAGACTGGTGTGTTCTCAATACTGTTTATTTTAGGTCTTGTATGTGTGAACTCCTGAGAGTGCTGTGAGCATTTTAAACTACTCGAAAATAACAGGTACTTGTGTAAAATACAGCTTTTGTCTTCATACTTGCAGAAATTATCATGATTAGCCTATCAGTAGAGCAATACCTGAAAAACCCTGTCCTTTTTTTTGTTCAATCCTACATCAGTAATTTAATATTTGTGATATTAACAAGAGTTATTAGCTAACCTAAAACCAAAGTTTTTTGCTTGTATATTTAATATACTTAATTAGTAATTTTCATGTTCAATTTGACTCGCTAAAATAACAAAGTGCAAAAAAAAAAATATTCATAAAAAATATGAATTGGTAAATATTAGTAAAAGTATTTTCTTAGTTAAAATAAAATATAGCTGATGAAATGACAAATGCACAAAATTAATAAAATTAATTAAAAGTTAAAATGGAAAATATAAAAACTTAAAACCAATATATTAATAAAAACTATACTATTCATGATACTAAAACTGGATTAAACTAAATTTGCTTTTCCGAAGTGAAGTAAAAGTACTTGTTACACACGCACAAAATTATTTGGCAACCCAGCGCTGGGTGACTATTGGGTGACTAAAATCTGATATTAGTAGGCTGTTCCAGTTCATTAAATGATTGTTCATGTTTGAAAAGTTACATCATAAACTGTCAGACATTTAAGTAACTTGATTGCACTGACAATATAGAAATGTGAAAGAGTGATGTTAACAATAGCATTTTAAACAAAAACAACCAAAAGTTATAGTTAATAGTTATATATAATATATTCAAATGGTTATTAGGAACACCTGTTAAATTTTTCATTAATGCAATTATCTAATCAACCAATCACATGGCAGTTGCTTCAATGCATTTAGGGGTGTGATCCTGGTCAAGACAATCTCCTGAACTCCAAACTGAATGTCAGAATGGGGAAGAAAGGTGATTAAAGCAATTTTGAGCGTGGCATGGTTGTTGGTGCCAGACGGGCTGGTCTGAGTATTTCACAATCTCCGTTACTGGGATTTTCATGCACAACCATTTCTAGGGTTTACAAAGAATGGTGTGAAAGGGAAAAACATCCAGTATGTGGCAGTCCTGTGGG